TGGGGGGCTGCAGCCCAGGTTCAGCCTGAATCCCACCTTCAGGGCTGCTCCTCAGCCCGCCCCTTCCCCTGGCCGCAGCTCTGACTGACCCCAATAGATTTTTAGGTCTGTTGCCCGTACGGCAGCCCGAGTTTTTGAAGCTTTTTGCTTGACCAAAAAGCCCGTGATGTGACCTGTTCCCACTGCAGGACCCCGCTGCCTGTGTAAGTCCCCGGGGAGAGCAGAGCCACCTCCACCATCTGGTGAAGGCAGCGATGGAGGTGGGACACCAGAGCTGATGTTGGGCTCTGTGGCAGGATGAATTTCAAGGAGAGGTGGCAAAAGCCACCACCGCCCCTCCACCTGGCCCAGCCTCGGCTGTTTTGGCTGGCCGGCGGGTCCCCAGGCAAAAAGGGCCCGAAACAGCAGCTGAGCCACCGTGGCCGGCTGCTGAGGTCTCCGCGCCTTCAGCACAACGCTCCGCTGCAGCGTGAGGAGAAAGGAGCTGGTGTTAAGAAGAGAAGAGAAGAAAAGGGGAAATAACTGAGGTGCAGACGGGTCATGAAGTGAGCATCGTGACCTGAGAGGGAAGGAAGGGAACGTTGTCGTGTGCTTTGAAAGCAGCACTCTGACCATGCAGGAAGTCACTCGTGCAGCTCACCGCCTCGGCTCGCCCCTACGAGGAAGGTCTCTGAAGCAGCCTTGCAGCCTTGCTCCGGAGCAGGGCCAGCTGCCCAGCTGTGACCCTGGTGGGACACCGGTTCTTCTGGTGGGATATGGCTCTCCTGGTGAGGACATCGATCTCCTGGTGAGGACATTGCTCTTCTGGAGGGGACACTGCTCTCCTGGTAGGTCCCGGTAGGGTATGGCTCTGCTGGTGGGGACACGGCTCTGCTGGTGGGCACACTGCTTTCCCGGTGGGGTATGGCTCTGCTGTTAGGGACATTTTTTTTCTCCTGGTGGGGCCATAGCTCTCCCAGTAGCGACACTGCTCATGTGGTGGGACATGGCTGTGGTGGCAAGCCCCCGAACCGCTGCCCCACTGCTTTCATGCTCATGCTGGGAGGGGTGGTTTGGGCTGGGGGAGCAGGCAGGGGTGCAGCAGGCAGGACCATGGTGCCTGGTTGGGGGCAGCCAGCCCCATGGCCCCAGCACCCAGGGAGCAGGGTAGGGAGGATGAGGCTGCGGGTAGCGGGGGGCACAGCTCCCCAGGGGCAGAGACAGCGCGACCGGGATGGGGCTGGGCTGCGGGGCCGGCGAGGCTCCTTACGGGATGTTTTCCCCAAACTCATCCCCCCATCACAGGCACGGGGCCGTGCGTTAGCTGGGTGTTGGGGCTCTCCCCATGGCGACAAGCAGCAGCAGGAACTGCGCCCTGAGCAGGGACAGCCCTCAGGGCACTGTGGGGAACCTGCTGATCCAGGCCCTGGAAAACCTCTCCGAGCTGGATTTTAAAAAATTTCGGGATGCACTGGCTCATGGAGACCTGCGGGGCAGGAGCTGCGTTCCCTGGGGGCGGCTGGAGAAGGCTGACTGTGTGAATACAAAGAACCTCATGTTGGATTTCTACGGCGGGGAGGCTGCCCTGGATGTGGCAATAGTCGTCTTTGAGAGCATCCAGCTCCGCAACGCCGCCGCCCTGCTCCAGGAAAGCAGAGAGAAAGGTGGGAAGGCTGAGCAGCTCCCTGGCGAGGGCAGCATCGCGTGTCCTGGGGGTCATGTCCGTGAGAGCCTGTGTTTGGGGCCAGGAGGATGCTACTGAAAGGGTGGTGGGTTGGGGGTCCCTGCAGCAGGGTGTGTGGGGCTCCTCCAGGGAGGAGGAGATGGCAGAGGATTTGGGGGTGTCCGGGGCTTAGTGATGCTTCCCACTAACACCCCTTTCTCTTCCAGCCCTGGGGCCCGCTCGTCTGCCGGGTTCATCGTCACCAGGTAGGCAATGGCGGGGAGAAGCGTGGGGGGCTCGGCCGCTGCTCGCCCCGTGGCCCGCAGACGCGTGAGGTGACCTCCCACCCTTCCAGATTACCAGCGGAATTACAAAAAGGCCATACGCCAGGCGTACAGCCGCATGAAGGACCAAAACGCCCGGGTGGGCGATAGCGTGAGCCTGAACGCCAGGTACTCGAAGCTGGTGATTGTCAACAAGCACCTTGACAAAGAGCAGCGGGAGCATGAGATCATGGCCACGGGACGGAGGCACGCGGAGATCATGAAGGAGCAAGCCAGCTCCTCCATCGCTGTCAGTGACCTCTTCAAGCCTGAACCTGATGGCTGGGTCCCCAAGGTGGTCGTGCTCCTGGGAGCCGCAGGCGTGGGCAAGACGATGACGGCCAGGAAGATCATGCTGGACTGGGCGTCTGACAAGGTGTTTGCGGAGTTCGACTACGTCTTCTACATCCACTGTCGGCAGGGCAACCTCCTCACCCGCAAGGCCAGCATGGCCGAGCTCATCACCCAGTGCTGTCCTGGCAGCCCTCTGCCACTTGACGAGACGCTGTGGCAGTCGGAGGGGCTCCTGTTCATGATTGACGGCTTCGACGAGCTCCGCTTTTCCTTTGACCGGCCCGAGTCTGAGCTGTGCTCCGAGCCCTTGGAGCAGAGGCCGGTGGAAATCACCCTGAGCAGCCTTTTCTGCAGGAAGCTCCTGCCCAAGAGCTCCCTGCTTGTCACCACGAGGCCGGCTGCCCTGCAGAAACTGGGCAAGTACGTGGAGGGCGAGCGCTATGCTGAAATCCTGGGGTTTTCGGAGGCGGAGAGGAAGGAGTACTTCCACAGGTTTTTCGAAAATGAGGAGAAGGCAGCTGCCGCCTTCCAGTTCGTCAGAGGGAAC